TGCGTGATATTTCAATTTTTTCGCCGTTCCGTTAAGTGAATTAATAAATTCAATGAAATTTTAAGTTCTCCGAGAGATCAGGTGTAAGCTTCAGACCTACTTATTTGAAGCAAAAATGACACTGTCTTTTTTTATCCGAAAAATATGGAGCATCATTTAACTGTTATCGCAACAACACTTTCATAAAAATCTAATCACACCTTTTCCTTTACTTCTTTGCCAAACCTACTTTTAGCCAAGATGGATTTCCACGTGAACTTTTATTTTTTTGCCATCGTAAATATGAACATCAGGGAATAACAAATAAACAAAAGAAAATATAGCCTTTCTTTTCTCGTGGTTCTTGATTCGCTGACTAAAAAAGCGTGCAAACAAAATCGGTCAATAATTTGGCGTATTTGTCAGCGATTGGCTTGAGTTTCTAATCCATATTCARGTCAAATTGTGGAATCTGCGTCAAACCATGTTTTCCGTTGATCTGTGAAGACGTAACGCTCTTCCGAAGGCGAGTTGGAACTCTTGAGGCAAGAAGATGCTCGAAGACGAAGAAGTGGAAGCTTGGAGAAAGTCTTTAAGCTTGTCCAACTGAAGGTATGCATTGCTTATGAAGAATACAAGCTGTAATTTTGCCCAGGAAGTTCCAAACATGACATCAGGGATGGCGGAGCGTATTTTGAACTGGGGGCTTACAAGCGAGTGCCAGAGGCGCTAACTTTTAGGGGGTCTGGAGATATAAAGTAGAACACGAGAAGAGAAATTCCATATCTACAAGCAACCAAGTATTGTTTTGTTTATTACACAGATACTAAAATCATACTAAATAACGTTTTTGACGATTTTCCGAAGATTTCCGAACACCTTCCGAAGATTTCCGAAGAGATATCTCCAAAGTCCAGTATTTTCCTGTGTTTATGGTTGGCAAGTCTCCAACAAACTAAGACTTGTTGATACCTTGCGAGACGGCGCTAGTTTCCTGGACTCACAATTAATCAAATAGAACATTTCTATTATGGTACTTAAGTACAATGTGTATGCTTTCATATTGAGTTCAACTGACAAAAATATTGACATCTGAAACTGTGCTTATTTTTGATCAGGAACTAGCATATTTTTTTT